TTGATCGTTTGCACGTGTTTCTAAGTCTTGCTGATTTAAACATTCAAGTGTTTTAAACCATTCACGTGCATTCGAAGCTGCACGCACTCATTCAAAGCGCGCACAGAGAGCCGCGTTTCAGACAATGCGCGTACACAGAATTGATTCCTCTTTCGCGTATGCTTGCATCTGAATGAACACATACACACAAAATTATCTCAAAATAACTGTCTCGGCAAGTATTCGTGTAAACACAGTCGGTTATGTCTTAAGTGAACATAAACAGTGGTGAAAGAAATCTAAAGTGCATCATTATATTGGATCTGTGCATTCGGTCTTAAAGGGGCAGCAGCCTATAAATACCTGCTGTTCCATAAGCGCCACCTGCTGTCAGAGAGTGGCATTTGCATCTCATTCACAAAGCTAAAATCAGACCATTCTGTTTTTGCATCAAATTGAGAAATTATACAAATCTAATTGCAATCTAAATAACATGTATTTAGCATCTTTGTTCGGATCGTGACTAAAATGCAGCAGTTGCCTCTTGTTTTTAAATGGAAAAAGCACAGCCTTATATGAAGAGATTTATTTTATTTGTATTTAATTATTTGATTTGGGATTTGTTTTAAAATTTCAAGTTAGTTTTATTATTTGACATACTGTATTTCAATTTCACAAAGAAATGTGCAGAATTTTGTTGGAGAAATAATAGAAGGACACCTTTTCATTTATAATTTGTCTTAAATCTCATTTTGTTAAAAAGAAAATTGTGAGAAAATTGTATTATGAAATCAGTATCATTAATTGTATCGCATCACATCGTGAGTTGAGTGAATCGTTACATCCCTACATGCTACTAGTTTTTGCTGTGGTATCAAAGAAGTATTCTGCTATTTAAATAATAAAGAACCATATTTTTTTTGCAAAATGACCCGATCTGTTACTCAAAATCTGATATGATAATGCAATATGATCCGAGCCATGAGTTTTGTGATCCGTTGCACCCCTACTCTCTTGACTTGTTATTTGAAGAAAAAAAGCGATCACTGAAGTTTTTAATCATGCTGATTTGTCCGCAGTGAAGTTCAGCCTATGTCTTTTTTTTTTATTATTCGGGCTACTTAAATTAATTTTGGGCTACCAAAATCTGAAGAATGTCTGCCCGAAGGGCTACCAGCGATTTTGAAATTTTGCGAGCCCTGTATGGGCTGATGCTCATAAAGTCACCGTGGCCAAATATTGGCAGAATAATTGGTATGTCTAGTATTGGTATGTCTAACATAACATAACATAACATAACACACAACATAACACAACATAACAAATAAAATAAAAAAGCAAGTTTAAATGCTCATGTTTATAAAATAAATACCCCATATTACTCTCAATTTAGATACCTCTGAATAAAATAATCACATAAAATAAAATGTATTAATTCCTAAAACAACATAAAACAACTTAAAAACAACATAAAACAACTTTAAAAGCTGCAAGTTTATAAAATAAAATACCCTCAGATCAGATTCTTCAAAATAAAATAAATTAAGTAAATAAACAAAAAATAAAAGCAAATTTAAAAGCTCTTCAAGTTTAAAATATTGGCAGGTGAATTGGTCTGTAAATATTATAAAATAATATTCCAATTCCAAATAAATTATTCCAAATAAATAATAAAATAAATATAAATATATTTTCTTTCCCAAAAGTAGGGCACTCAATGACCAGAATATAATGAAACTACGGTTCCCTATCGAAAGGTAACTCCTGTTGCGTCGTCATTTGACGACTGCTTGGGGAAACTCCTGTTTACTCTATTACTGAAGCCTTATTGGTTAACGTTTGTGTAGCTGCACAAACCACTGGCGCTCGAGCCCGCCAGAAGGGGCGGAGACGACCACTATATAAGTCGGCTCGGTGCGCCATCTTATCGGAATCTTCTCCTTCAGCGACGAGACCATCTCTTCGCTGACTCTGCAATCAAGAAGCTGAAGAGGGAAGAAGCTCAGCCTGCAGCTCGCCACCGTAGAGAGCCCCGGCAGCGGAAGAAGCAAGAAGCCTTCCCCTTTGGCTATCCGGCTGGTAAGAGCAATTCCTGAGCAATTTCTCTGCGACATTGTTGCAAATCTCGCACCACGAGTGTGGCTCGTGCGAGGAATCCCTGCACGATGCAGAAGGGCAGTGACGGAGAGACGGAACGCTCTCACAGAGAGCATGAGCATGATCTGCCGTTGTGTGTTTTACACATGAGATTGCACCCCTCTTACATCGAGCAGCTCAATCCCTTCAGGCGGATCAGAGTAGAATCCTGTCACCAATGATTCAGATCGCTGACAGCTTCGCATTTGTGTGTGCGTCGCTGAGGCTGCGCTCACTGAGACAGGCTGCTTTCATAGACGAAAGTGCGAGTTTATCCCTGCATCGCTCGCGGATCCCCTTCAATGAAGATGGCCCCGCCTCCCCAGCTCTCGTGTTTCTCCCCTCCCAGTTACCTCGGAGAAGAAACGGCGAAGTCGCGAGTTTGAGCGATCAGGCTTGAGTGATTTTACACCGGCGCAGGTCCCGTGTGTTTCACTCTCACTGCAGCACTTTGATCTGCCAGTGTGTTTTACACATAAGGATCAGCGTCCCTCGCTTACATCGAGCGGCTCAATCCTTCTAGGCGGATCGGAGTAAAGGCTGTCACCAGTGATTTCACATCACTGACAGCCTCAGATTTGAGTGCGCCGCTCGCCTGGGCCATGCCCACACTGAGGCTGCACTCACCGAGACCGATCTCTCGCTATGAGAGTGTGTGTCTCGATCTGCTGCGCTCGCGGTTTGCCTTCTTCGCGGCCCCGCCCCTCCTGCTCAAGTTCTCCCCTCCCAGCTGTCTCGGAGGATGAAACAGTAAAGTCACGGGGCTGAGCAACCGGGCTTGAGTGATCACACGCCGGTACAGCTCCCACACTGCCACTCTGCTTTTGGCCTGCGAGTTTACATTAAGCGCTCAGATTCTTTCAGACAATCAGAGCAGCTTTTTGTGTGCTTTGGAGGTCGCTCTAAAAGGCTGCCTGTTACAAAATAAAGACTATCTCATTTGATAGTAGATGCTATAGCTCTCTGGCTTACAATGCCCTTTAGGTGTGAGGGCCCATTCCACCAGAGGAATGGCCTCCTCTTGGGCCTGGTCCAGTAGAATCTCTATTGGGGAGTCTACCTTCATTAGATTCTACAATTTGGACATCCCTGCCCTGCAGGCGCGGGTCTTATCCACCTAATGCTTACTTTTTACCCCCCTCGGGTGGGGAGACTTATCTCAAGTAGACCTCAGAACGTTCTCTTTGTGGCTCAGGCTTATGAAGCCCTCGCTGAGTGTTCCTGGGCTGAGCTCGCGGAGCAGGCTAAGTTCTGCCTCTGCTTATAGCACGGCGCTATTGGATATGTTTCCCAAGCAGTCGTCAAACGACGACACAACGGGAGTTATCTTTCGATAGGGAACGCTCCGGTTAATCACGTAACCTTGGTTCCCTGAGATAAGGGAATGAGTGTTGCGTAACTGGCCGTGCTATAGCTGCACGCGAATCGATAGATGTCGCTTCAGTCGTATGATTCTGATGAGATGGCGCTCCGAGCCGACTTATATAACGGTCGGCTCCGCCCCTTCTGGCGGGCTTGAGCGCCATTGGTTTGTGCAGCTACACAAACGTTAACCAATCATGCTTCAGTAATAGAGTAAACTGGAGTTTCCCCAAGCAGTCCTCAAATGACTACGCAACGCTCGTTCCCTTATCTCAGGGAACCGAGGTTACATGAGTAACCGGAGGGTTATTTGGTTATTTAGGGATGCCGATGTCAACGAGTAGATTTGAATTTAGTCTATTTTGAGGTTATTGGCCGTATGCTTATTCATCATAAAATAAGCATCATAATTCTAATTTAACCCTCACATTCCTTCATAGTTCTCTTTCAGGGCAACACAAAAAAAAGGATATTCCTGGCATGCTTCTCTTTGACAGCAATCTCCTGTGTGTTGATGGCTTTGTTGATGCTCACTGCCTGTAGAAGAGAAAGAGAGAAAATTCAAATTAATTTTTGGGGCCTTTCCTTCAGTGAGGTTAAAGATTAAAAACCAGCTCATGGCAGAAGAGTCTTCCTGTGTGCTGGGGCAAACAGTGAGTTTTAGTGTTTCACTAGAGCCTTATTGAGCAACTTTAACCACCACTGCGCAACAGCCACTGAATACTAATGAAATTGAGCTCAAGGAGTGTTTGACAGGCAGCAGACCTAAAACACTATTACCGCTTGGGCTACATCCTCCTAATAGTTTGATTCATCTCTCAACTATATACATACTGACAACGTCGAGAGCTCTGATGCAGAACTAACTTGTGAGAGATATTGAAAAAGCATTAGCCATATGTTTTCTTTCCTGTTCCTTTCACAGATGCCAAATTGCCATCAGTTCTATGTACCTTCACAACTAAAACAGTGTTCCTGTTTAAACAAGCAACACATTTTCGGCATGGCCAGCTGAACGTAATGAACCCTTATCGGCCCATCAGATAATGCACATGGTTGCATGAGCCAATTAAGGTGTGGCAGGGCAGTCGAGTCTCTCAGTCATGCTTCCTCTAAAATGGCTGAAACTCCTTTTATTTAGAGAAACAAAACACTTTAGTTATAAAACAACAGTTATAAAACACCGCTAGGAAATACTAGTGCATTTCTGATGCAAAAGCTGCCCAAAAAGATGTTTTTGGCCAAATTTTACTCACACTGCATCTATGTGTTACAGAGCAGACCCATGATTACATGCTCATGTGACATTGCTGTGCTATATGGTCATGAAAACTATCGTCTGCATGCATTTTTTAGCACTGCGGTTTAAAAACAAGTCATTTTAAGCCACTGAAACGTAATCTGCAGCAAAAAAAAAAAAACTCATTCACTATATGCACACGCTGTCAGAGAGATGCACGCATGTGAAGGCAGTGCTCATAGAGTGCTGGAATATTAAACAGTTATTATATATAAGAGTTATTTTTGCCGCTTTATAGGCTACACACATTTGTAAATGTAAAAATGCCCATCTTTACAAATATCCTTGTAACCACAGTAATTTAGGTCTTAAGTAAAAGCAAACAGCTGAGAAAGAAAACACATGTGTAACAGTATATTGTATGCGGGCAGCTCTTAAAGTGACAGCAGTCTAATATTCCTGTAGTCTGTCATTCATGTTAATCTAACAAGAGAGAAAATCTAACTGCTCTTGATTAAATCATGTTTGTAACTTTAATGAGAAGAAATTTAATTTACACAGTGAAGAATATGCAGTGTTTTTATACATTTGATTACTTTATACAATGTATGCAGCATTTCTTATTTATTTGTTCTACTGTAGTTTTTTGTCGTATTGCTTGTTTCTTATTCTTATTTAATCACTGACTGTTTACTTGTCTTCAGTGAGCTTGAGATTTTGCATCACATGAATAAATTACATTTAAAAATTTTAAATCCTAATAATATTTCACAATATTACTGTTTTTACTATTAAAACACTAAAATATTACTGAATTTGGAATGGTAGTGTAAACTTTGAAAATACTTTGCTCTGGACCAAAAATAAATCTGAAACATTTTGTTGAAGAGGTTGGCAGAAATTCTGGCAAGGATGCTGAGAGAATGCTGTTGTAGTGTGTAGTTCAGTCTTCATCCCTGTGCAGGCTTCTGCTGCCAGACACACTGTTAAAGGTGATAAGGCATGCCTTTGTGTAGACAAGATGGATCTCATTAAGTCGCAGCTGTGATCCCAAATACAACAAGGATGAAGAAAGGACAGCAGATTGGAAAAATCCATCCAGGTTTCTTATAGACCAACCCAACAGAATGTTTTTAGGCAATGCTCTAATGCTAAAAACAATACATTGACTTAAGAAGTGGGTTTCTTCCATCCCTCTCCAACAACCAATAATGCATTCAGAGCTGATAAGCATATGACTAAAACCGTCCATGAGCCATAAAGTCTATAAAAAGTTAATCAGTAAAAAAATGACAATAAATTTCCATTATAAGGAAATTAAGACCTTTAAAAACATAGCAGCTAAGGCATCTAAGAGATTGTGATGCTGGTGTGAGGAAATGTGTGACCTAATTTGTCCACACTAAGACTTTGTTGTCTATGTGAATGAGTTGTGCCAGCTGACCAGGCCTTTTGGCACTGGCGAGTGAATTTACTGGCATCCCGGCCCATTATCTCTCTCACAGGCACAGGCAAATGATAAGATGAAGTGATAACCACTTATTAAAGTAAGAAGAGATAAATAAACTGGGAAAGATTACAAGCAGAGATGAGCATAATGTCATCACATACTTAACCCTGTAAAGCCTGACATATGAAATAATAAACAGAATTTAAAGGGGTCATATGACGTTGCTAAACAGAACATTATGTTGTGTATTTGGTGTAATGCAATGTGTTCATGCGGTTTAAGGTTCAAAAAACACATTATTTTCCACATACTATACATTATTGTTGCTCCTCTATGCCCCGCCTTTCTGAAACGCATCGATTTTTACAAAGCTCATCGTTCTGAAAAGCGAGGTGTATGCTGATTGGCCAGCTATCCAGTGGTTGGCTGAATACCTCATGTGACGGAAATGTTACGCCCCTTAACATATGCGTCGCGGCACATTCTCCACGCTGCTTCATTGAAGATACATGCATACGTCTCCTTTGATTAAAAATAATAGCTAGTGCGGTGGCTGCAATATACGTAGGTGAATCTACAAACATCCGTCGCAATGACTTATCGTGAGAGGAAAAAAAAATTACGTTTTAGTCACATAACATCAGTTCTAAAGTGATTGAGACCCTCCGACAGCCGAGCAGGTTGTCCAGATGAATGCCAATAGCAGCCATTAGGGATGCACCGAAATGAAAATTCTGGGCCGAAACCAAAACTTCTGGATGCACTTGGCCGAAAACCGAAATAATGCTTTGTAATAATTATTTATTCTTTTATTAAATAATATAAAGTACTTTTGTAAGACTTTTTAATTTAACTTAATTTTAAAGACTGACTTTAAAAAAACACAAGCAAATAAATGACGTCTGCTAAATGACTAAATGTAAAAATAAAATAACCACACTTTTATTGAAAGTAACAATTAAATTGGACAGAATAGTAATAGTAAATGTATTATTTTTATTCAGTTCTATGCAACAGAATCTTATAAGGTTTTTTTTTTTTTTGACTAATTATCCAAATAATGTATAGTCCTACAAAGCTATTATTATCAGAGCAGATCAGTGAATGAGAGGGTATCATCATTTTACCAGCGTTGCCCGTAAAGCTCTACTACAGCATGTTACAGCACTACTGCAAACAGGAACAAGTGTACTACATAGAAATTTCCCATCGGTGCATTATTTGAGCAAACTTTGCCTTTCCGGTGATCATGAGCGGTACACGAGCGGAACGCACATTCATAGAGCAGAATAGGGCTGCACGATATTGGAAAAAAACTCACATTGCGATATTTATTTTCTGCGATATATATTGCGATATGAAAAAAAAATCAGATGACTTCAATATAGCTCTATTTGGAAGAAAAAATAAATAAATGATTGGGGTGATTTTGTAGGCGGATAAATCGGCATAGGAAATAAACAAATTACAAGCATAGATAATAAATAACAGAACAAAGATACAAATGAAATAAGCAGTGCTTTATATTTTTCAGGTAAGTCTAACAGTATTCAGGTACAGAAATTGAATAATCAAATGTAAAATAACTGCATAGTTTTCACTATAAATTAAATTAACAAATCTGTGTTAAAGCTACAAAAGTGATTTTTCTTTGTGTTTTGTTGTTTGATTAACATTCATGACACAGAAAGCAACAGGAACATTAAACTGCTGTGATTGTGAACCAACATACTGTTACACATCCATTTTCTTTCTCAATTGTTTACCTTCACCTAACCCAACATCTATGTTTACAAGGATACTTGCAGAGCACATTATTTCAGGCACAAACAGACGCAGAAGTGAACAGAAATCAGTGTTCACGTGCATCTGCGTGGCTCTCACTGAGTCCACACCGGACGCGAGCGGCATGACGCGACGCGACAAAATACAATAGAACCTATTATAATCAGTGATGCTGTGTAACTGTCTACACTGGATGCGGTGCAACACGACAAATCCCCGACAGTAAACTGATGGCGCGTTCTCTTTATGACGTACTGACACAAAGTTCAAATGATATGCAATGGTATTTTTATTCAGTTCTATGCAACAGAATCTTATAAGGTTTTTTTTTTTTTTGACTAATTATCCAAATAATGTATAGTCCTACAAAGCTATTATTATCAGAGCAGATCAGTGAATGAGAGGGTATCATCATTTTACCAGCGTTGCCCGTAAAGCTCTACTACAGCATGTTACAGCACTACTGCAAACAGGAACAAGTGTACTACATAGAAATTTCCCATCGGTGCATTATTTGAGCAAACTTTGCCTTTCCGGTGATCATGAGCGGTACACGAGCGGAACGCACATTCATAGAGCAGAATAGGGCTGCACGATATTGGAAAAAAACTCACATTGCGATATTTATTTTCTGCGATATATATTGCGATATGAAAAAAAAATCAGATGACTTCAATATAGCTCTATTTGGAAGAAAAAATAAATAAATGATTGGGGTGATTTTGTAGGCGGATAAATCGGCATAGGAAATAAACAAATTACAAGCATAGATAAATAACAGAACAAAGATACAAATTAAATAAGCAGTGCTTTATATTTTTCAGGTAAGTCTAACAGTATTCAGGTACAGAAATTGAATAATCAAATGTAAAATAACTGCATAGTTTTCACTATAAATTAAATTAACAAATCTGTGTTAAAGCTACAAAAGTGATTTTTCTTTGTGTTTTGTTGTTTGATTAACATTCATGACACAGAAAGCAACAGGAACATTAAACTGCTGTGATTGTGAACCAACATACTGTTACACATCCATTTTCTTTCTCAATTGTTTACCTTCACCTAACCCAACATCTATGTTTACAAGGATACTTGCAGAGCACATTATTTCAGGCACAAACAGACGCAGAAGTGAACAGAAATCAGTGTTCACGTGCATCTGCGTGGCTCTCACTGAGTCCACACCGGACGCGAGCGGCATGACGCGACGCGACAAAATACAATAGAACCTATTATAATCAGTGATGCTGTGTAACTGTCTACACTGGATGCGGTGCAACACGACAAATCCCCGACAGTAAACTGATGGCGCGTTCTCTTTATGACGTACTGACACAAAGTTCAAATGATATGCAATGGCCGCTTTGTCGCGTCCAGTGTAGACACCGCTTGCGCTTTCGTGGCATCTGCCGTTGCTAAGCGACCATGACCTGCGCTCTCCATTTCAACAAAGGATAAATGGATTTCCAGCACTGAAAATCCCTTGCAGTAGCTCTGCTACTAAATTTATTTAAAATGGGTATCTCTGTACAGCTGTCGCGTCCGGTGTAGACACCGTCTGTGTGTGAGGAAAGAAAACAATCAGTAAAAATATAACAACCAGTATACTAAACACTGCACATCCTTAACACCGGTGACTATCGCGGATGCGCACATCGCGATATCAATGCTGAAACTATATATCGTGCAGCCCTAGAGCAGAATATTGAGTGGCGCGTCACACCATGCAGTGACGACGGCTAGAGGAGAGTGAAACCTGCACGCTGAACACTGCCGGGCAGTGTGACGGGGCATATATTTTCAGTAGGGTTGGGAATCGAAAATCTATTCCGA